CCTAGTAAATCAACTAATTAAGTAAAAAAATTACAAAGTACTAATTAACAACAACAAAGAAATTACAACTTAAGAAATAATATACTTATTTTGTCTCTTTGTAGTACCTGCATCGCTTCTTCATCAGGGAAGAAAGCATCACATTCCAATATTGGATCAAAACCAGGAGGCCCAAGGCTATCCTTCTGAGCTAGCTTATTCTGATTAGAAGCTACTGCATTATAGTTTTTATTTTTGCTAATTGAAGTTCTCTGTTCAACGCTTACTCTTACTTTTTTGGCCTTTTCATGTTCATATGGACCTGTAAATCACAATTAAGTAAAAAAATTCAGTATAATAACAACAACAAAGATTACAACTTAAGAAAATAATATACTTATTTTGCTTCTTTGAGTACCTTGCATCGCTTCTTCATCAGGGAAGAAAGCATCACATTCCAATATTGGATCAAAACCAGGAGGCCCAAGGCTATCCTTCTGAGCTAGCTTATTCTGATTAGAAGCTACTGCATTATAGTTTTTATTTTTGCTAATTGAAGTTCTCTGTTCAACGCTTACTCTTACTTTTTTGGCCTTTTCATATTCATATGGACCTGTAAATCACAATTAAGTAAAAAAANTTTTGCCCATCAAAGTTCTCTGTTCAGCGTTTGCTCTTATTTGTTTGGACTTTTCAGATTCATATGGACCTGTAAATCACAATTAAGTCAAAAAAAATCCAGTACAATGACAATAACAAAAAATTACAATTTAAGACAATAATATACTTATTTCGCTTCTTTGTTCAGCGTTAACTCTTACAGAACCAAAAGCTCTGAAGCTTTTCCCTCGTCCCCTTGCTAAGGCACCAGGTGGAACGTATGCATGCTTAAAAGTCTTCGAAGTTGATACCATTTCAAACTTCTGAGATTTTGATGGATCCATGTCAGCCTGATAGAAATAAAATTAGTTGATTAATAGATATTCATGTCAATTTCATCATATATGAACATGTGAAGGTGTAGGAAACAAACTAAAAAGTTAGTTGGCAATAGACAACAGTAATGAATAAAACTAACAGAAACATAACACATGAAAACTTAAAGAAAATAAATGTTTAGTGAGTCAATCCATTATATATGAACATACAATCAGCTAAGAAGAAATCCACTGGTGGAGTTTTAGAAATGTTTTTCCTTTCCTGCAACTTAACCTGTAAATCAAATGGGTTTTAGTATGGAACTTTTATTATAATAAAGGAGTTAACAAATTAAAAGCAGGTGTGATAGAACTCCAAACCTTCTTGAGTTCTTTTCCTTTTTAGTTGTGAAGAATTATCTAACTCCTCTAAATCATCAATATTCTCTTGCAGAATGTCAAAAGAATCACGAGGTTGCACCTTTTGTACAACATGCCAGCCTTTATTAGAAAGATCCTCAGCATAAAAAACTTGCGATGCTTGGTTGGCTAATACGAAAGGCTCATTTGTTTTCAGAAATCGCTGGCAGTTAACACTTACAAAGCCATATTCATCTATTTTAACTCCTTTTTCTTGGTCATACACATCAAACCATGTACATCGAAATAAAACCACCCTTCTTCCCGGAACAAATTGTAATTCTAGAATCTCTGTTAGTTCACCATAGAAATCGATATTTTTATTCTCTTCATCGGTCTCTCCAACTACAACCACCCCGCAATTTTGAGTTCTCAAACCTTTATCATAGTCCAACATGTGAAACCTATATCCATTAATAATATAGCCACGAAAACTTGTCACATATGGCGTGGGACCACGTGACAATGACAGCAAATCTGCCATTTTCTTACTGTCATCGTACTTTTGCAATCTTGCGACCTATCAAGATCAAATACATAGTTTAGCAAATAATAATTACATAGTTTGAAAAATATTATTATTAGTTGGTACTCACCTTTTCTTTTAACCAACTAATAAATTGTCTATCAGAATTTTCTTGAGAGGTATCAACTGGAGTTTGTGAAAACTCTCTACAAAATTGCAGTGTAAAAATATGTCAGCTTAAATTAATAAATAGAGAAGGTATTAAATTGTTATAACAAGTCTTTACTTACTCAAGAAATGGTTGAACTTCCTCGTTGTTTTCCAAAATATAAAAATGTGCTTGCTCCAGATCATTTGAATCAAGTTTGTCTATTTTCCCACCTCTTAAAGCTCTTCCAGATTGATAAAAAATTGCTAAACCTCCATCAGATTCTATAACACCACCATCATAATTTCGTTCAAGGCGATTAAACTTTGTTTCCATTGTATGCAAATACCTTGAACATAAGGTCATACATTCAGCTGCTAAATATCCCTCTGCAATAGAACCTTCTGCGCATGCCCTATTACGAATAAAAGGCTTCAAAAAGTATATATATCGCTCCATTGGGTACATCCATCGACATTGAATAGGTCCAGCAATCTTAGCTTCATTAGCTAAATGAATAGGCAAGTGCTCCATGACATCAAAAAATGTAGGAGGGAACACCTTTTCTAACTTGCACTCAGTTTTAGGAATCTGGCCATCTATCTGCTCTAATTCATTCATTCTTAAACATTTTCCTCCAAGCACATTGAAAAATAATGACAACTCAATAAGTGGTTCCCGTACAGATTTGCTAAGCATACCACGTATTGCAAGTGGGAGTAAATATTGTAGAAGGACATGGCAATCATGACTTTTTAAACCTGAAATTTTGCGATCTTTAAGGTTGACACACTGAGAAATACTTGATGAAAATCCATCTGGGACCTTTAAGTTCTTCAGGAAATTGAAAAACTTATACTTCTCTTCAGGAGATAGTGTAAAACATGTTGTTGGTAAGTCATACTTATCCCCATTTTTTATTGGATGCAATTCTTTTCTTATGTTCATTGCTTGCAAATCCAACCGAGTGTTTATGGTATCTTTGGTTTTCCCTTTAACATTTAAGATTGTCCCCAGAATATTATCACATATGTTCTTCTCAATATGCATCACATTTAAGTTATGCCGCAACAATAGAGTTCTCCAATAAGGAAGATCAAAGAAAATACTCTTCTTATTCCAATTATCACCCCTACTCTCATGTGATATTTTAACCTTCTTCTTTGGATCCTTTGTTAATTGTAAACCATCTAAATCAGCCACTTGATCAAGTATATCATCACTGGATAGCTTTTTGGTGGTAATCTTCGCTCCTTAGTGCCATCAAATGACTCTCTATCATTCCTCCATTTGTGATTAAGAGGAAGAAAGAGTCTATGGCCCATATAACATTGTTTTTTACAATTTTCTAACCTAATTGAAACAGTTTCTTTATTACAACATGGACAAGCCATTTTTCCCTTTGTACTCCATCCAGATAAATTTGCATATGCTGGAAAGTCATTAATGGTCCATAACAAAGATGCATGTAACATAAAATTTTGTCTAGTTGATGCATCAAAGGTCTCCACTCCAGATTCCCACAATTCTTTTAATTCCTCTATCAAAGGTTGAAGATAAACATCGATAGCATCTCCGGGACTCTCAGGACCAGGAATAATCATCGACAAAATAAAATTCTCTTTCTTCATGCATAGCCGAGGTGGTAAATTATAAGGAATAAGTACCACAGGCCAAATACTATATGGAATTTTGGAATTTCTAAATGGTTGAAAACCATTACTAGCAAGTCCAAGTCGAACATTACGAGGCTCAGCTGCAAAAGATTGGTGAAGTTCATCAAATTTTTTCCATGCTATTGAATCAGCTGTTGCCTCATTATTCCATCATCAACTCTTTTGTCATGATGCCATGTCATTAAAGAAGATGTCTTTGAGGACATAAACAATCTTTGAAGTCTTGGCTTTAGAGGAAAATAACGTAAAATCTTGTATGGTATCTTTTTTCCACTTTTAAATTTGGTTTCTCCACTGTGTTTATCCTCCTTCCATCTAGATACGCTACAAACTTTGCAAGATTCAAGAAACTTATCATCCTTCCAAATAACATACAATCATTCTTACATGTATCAATCTTTTTGTAAGAAAGCCCAAGGTCCCGAATAACCTTCTTTGCCTCATAATATGAATCTGGCAAATTAGATCCGTCAGGCAATAAATCTTCCTTCAACATCTTCAACAGCATTATAAATGACTCGTTACTCCAATTACCAATAGTTTTAATATGAAGCAATTTAACCAAAGTAGAAAGTTTAGAAATTTTTGAACTTTGGTACAAGGGTTGCTCAAAATCCTTTAAGACCCTATAGAATCTTTTTGCTTCAGGATTTGGTTCCTCCATGAGAAACTCATCACCATCATTGTTCATATTGTCTCCATCAAAATTGGGGTAAAGATCTCTTAAAATGTCATGTATTTCATCCTCACCATCACCATATTCAATGTCATTATCATCTACAAATTCAGAATCTGACTGTGCCTCACCTAACCTTTCCCCATGGTGATACCAAAAGTATAATTTTGAATTATCCCATGTACTATTAAATGTGATCTAACCAGCTCACGTGTTCCTGAAATTGCATTACAACATTTGATGCATGGACAACGTATTTCACACGTTTCTTCCAATCTTGTAAAAGCATAATTCAAAAATTTCTCTACCCCAAGTATGTAAGCATTATCTAGTCGATCATGAACAAGTTCCATCCATTGCTTATCAGGTGCCATACTCTGGTGCATAGAACAGTTTTAAAAAATAAAATAAAATATATGGCACCTGATAAGCAATGCAGAAAGAAACAAACATAAGTAAACAAAAACACATTAATCACCTCTGCCTATGAATATTAGTCAATCCAGTTCTCAAGAACAAGTGGACAAGCATTATAACTTTGAGTAAATGAGTTGTAGTCTCTAGACCCTTCTTGTAACAAATTTATGCTTAATGTTTTAACTTGTCTTTAAGAAGACATGTTTCTGATGCATGCTGCGTAAGTGTATAAGGATTTTCACCAGATTAGGGTAATGCTATTGTGATGGAGCTGTGTGTTCATTCCTAAAAAGTGTAAGTAGATTTAACACATTGCAAATTACTTATCTTTGTTCTTGGGAAGTGAATTTTAAGTATACATCTTCTTAAGGTTACTTGTGAGGTAGCATTCAAGACAATTCTAAGTATACATCTTTTCTTAATCCTGTCTTCAAAAATTTCAAAAAAGAAAATGTCTCTACATCATCAACATTTAGTTCAGATTCTTGAGTTTAAGGAAAGATATATTCTTAGAATATCCATATTCTGAAAGGCTTTTAAAGAAGTATAAAGGTCCAAAAGGAATAGGGGAACAAGGATTGTATAAAAATTCAGAGGAGCATGACAAGTAGCATAAAACCAATAGATATCTAACTTAGTAGTCAAACAATGGGATACGGGAATTATGTATCTTAGAAAGAAGCAAGTTCGAGCAAGTACAAACATTATACGAAAGCTCCACGTCCAATGAAATAGATTTAGAATCGCATATGCTCCATTAACTACATTACAAATTATTAGATACCTCTATTAAAATGAAGACGCAATTCTCCGCTAAAAGTTGGCGACCTTATGTGATATTAGAACTACACAAATGCAAATTTTGGCCAACCAATTTTAGTCTAGAGGTCAGGATAGACATGAAAGGAAAAAATCAGATGCATTAGATTATTATATGAAGCTTAGATACAAAACTATTATACACTGCAGGGACATCTGAGTGACATTACTTGTTGATACAACGATATTGTTTTTTAATAAGACCAGTATATTATTCATATATGCAATATATATACTCTGTTTCCCCCATCCTACGGAAAAAAGAAACACATATAGTTCAGCCATCGCCCCATTGCTTAGAAAACAAAGTAAACTCAACCCCCTCCCCGTACCCCCACCTCCT